GTAGACAAGGTCGAATTTACTGCTTATAAACTCCAACTTTCCATGAATCTCGTACATTCATAACTGCTCTGGCGTATCGAATGTAAACAAATGACGTCATATATTAAGAAATGGACGAGGTCCGACAATTTATTTATTAAAGACATATTTTTATGTTTAACGTTGTTATTTTATAGATACAAGTATTTAAGCAAATGCTCTGTTTATCATAAACAAATTGTCGGACCTTGTCCATTTCTTAATATATGACGTCATTTGTTTACATTCGATACGCCAGAGCAGTTATGAATGTACGAGATTCATGGAAAGTTGGAGTTTATAAACAGTAAATTCGACCTTGTCTACCGATTGGTTCTTTTTTGTAGCTCAAACGGTAAAGGCATTATGACGGTTCCGTATAGGATACAGGTTCGAATCCTGTCAAAGAACGAAAATTTTCTATAAAATTTCTCGGACATTCAGGCCGGTAAATGTTATTTAATACTGTTTATCATAAACAGAGCATTTGCTTAAATACTTGTATCTATAAAATAACAACGTTAAACATAAAAATATGTCTTTAATAAATATATATATATATATATATATATATATATATAATTTCGATTATAGGTGCAGTTTAATTTATAATTACATGAATCATTCATACAAAAAACAAATATAGAGGTTAATCTGTATATTTGTTTTTTGTATGAACCACGAGGTACTTCTTCCTGCTCTAAGTCTTAGATTGTTATTCCAGTGCCTAAGCTAATAGAGAGGGTTTGTTGTAGTGATCCTCGTAAAATTGTGGCTTTAGAAAATTTATGCAAACCGAATTCGATTCCAATGTCATCACAGAAACATTTTACTGTTTTTAGACGACCGTCCATTTCACTGTCATTTCTAGCATACAACTTTAAGTCATCCATGTAAAATAGATGGCTTGTTTTATTATCTTATAGCTATATTCTGTCTTGTTGAGTTATCTGGTTAATGCTATACAAAATAGTAAGGGAGACAAAGAATCACCTTGAAATATAGCTCTGTTGATATTCACTTTCCAAAACTTATAGATTCCATTTATGTTTGAGATGATCCGTATCGACATGTTTTGTTGTATGAAATTGATGACAACGTGCGATATCTTGTATATATTTAAAGACTTTAAGATCCAGGAATGGCGAACACTATAGAATGCCTTATGGTAATCTATTCAGACAATTCTGAGATTTTTCTTTGTACTGAAGCAGTTTTCCAGGATTATCTTATTAATAAGTAATTGGTCTTTATATCCGTAAGAGACACGTTTGCACCGTTTTTGTTCAAGAAGTAGCATGCCATTTTTTTCTAAGAGGGAATATGACATGATTATTACTATTACTATTATAATTTCTTTTTTCTTTATGCCCATATATTAGCTAGCGTAGCGCATGCGCAAATTCATGTTGATAAGGCTATATGAATATAATTTTTTCTGATCGTCTTCTTTAACAGGAAACTTACACATCACTTACACACTAAATCAATATATTGACTTTTATTTACTTTACGATTTTTACAAAGGTGTCGCTGTGTGATATTTGAATAATTCACGGAAACGTGATATAGACTTCTTTTTCCCCTAATTTAATATCAGCTTTTAATATTACTTCCCCTAACCCTAAAATGTAAATAATGCATATCACTGCGTACATTTGCATATGTTTCGTCATGAATTCATTTGAAGGGACTTGACACTCCCATGATTCTTGCCTTTCATCACCGTATAAATTCTTATTTAGCTTCTGTCGGTGTTGATTTCGACGGCAGAGGCATGAAGCTACAACTAGCTTAGTTAAGTTATGAGAGAGTGGTTTTCCGAACTGGCCATGCGTCTCGAAAAGGACCTCCAATCGGTTGTGAACTGGGGCAGGAATTGGCTGGTCAACTTTAATGCTTCAAAAACCAAACTGCTCTCTATTAATCCTCACAGAGATCCTTCCCTGCCCTCCATTAGAATGTCTGACGCTCAACTTCTCAAGAGCACCTCTCTGCGGCTGCTCGGTCTCACGTTGACTGCTGACCTGAGATGGAACAAATACATTAAGTCAATTGCTTCGTCCACCGCAAGGAAATTTGGCTCCCTGTGTCGCGCTAGGAAATTTTTCTCCCCGGAATCGATCCTCCAGGTCTACAAATCAACAATTCGCTCTTGCATGGAGTATTGCTGCCATATATGATCTGGAGCCCCTTCTGTTTGCCTCGAGGTTCTTGATAGGCTCCAGAGGCGGATATGCAATATAATTGGCCCCGATCTGGCATCTCGCCTACAGTCACTTTCTCACAGACACGCCGTCGCCTCTCTCTGTCTGTTTTACAAATACTTTCATGGTAATTGCTCCGAGGAGCTGCATTCGCTGGTTCCCAGATTTTATGAGTTCAAGTGCCCTACGAGGCTGGCATCCCGCTCTCACCCCTTCACTGTCGAAACTCCTAAATGTAGCCGTCTCTTCTACTCCATTAGCTTCATATCTCGCACCTCTCGCCTGTGGAACTCCCTTCCCTATTCCACTTTCCCTGAGAGCTATAATCTCCAACTATTCAAATGTAATGTCAATCGACATCTCCAGTTGCCTTGATCTATGCACTATCCTTCTCCTCATCCTTTCTTCCATCACTCTTATCTGATCTTGCTCCAAATCTTCTGTAACCCCTTGCGTCCTAGTGGTTTCTCGCTTTGCTTGGGGTGAAACGCTTAAAAAAAAAGAAAAAGTGAAAACTACCCCTCACCAATTAACTCTATCAATCAATGGGCTGAGAAATGGATACGTCATTGACGCGCAACAGTTCACGAAGTGAATATAATCAGATTTAAATTTTAACACTGCTATTAACCCATTACCTGCCATGAGAAAATTAAAATTAAACTCCCTACATGCAGCAGACATGTAACTCGAAGGGAAAATAAGGATATAATTCAGGGAGGGTTAGGGTTCATGACTTCCCAGTCTTTTGTTGCTCTAAGTAACTTTTGAATCTTCCCCATGCCTTTTTGTCTTTGACCTGCTATCCATTCATTTCTTTTGCGGGGGCTGAGTCACTTCAAAATGTTACAGATCATGTCTCTCCACAGCTTCCTGATATTTGTTGCGCAAAGTAATTTTTGCTCTCTTACTATCTACCTTTTCTTTATTCTTTCATGAATTCACTTCTTTAACCCATTACCTGCCATGGAGCCTCATTTGGGGATCTGGTAAAATTAAACTCACTACATGTTATTCCTTGTATCTACATTGAATTGCTTACATACATTGCATTTGTTGACGTATATTTTACAACACTTAGCCTTTAAAGTTTTTATTATTAGCCGGAAGAAAAAACTTTCTGTCATAATTTGACATTCCACAAGTACAAAAATAACGACTATTCTGAAAAGTATTTTTTATTATTATTTCTAATCAATATTATTTTTTGATGTTTTATACACATATATATTTGATGTTCTGGTTTCGATAAAAATGACAATGGTAACTGCTGAAATTAAACATAAAGAATAAATAAACTCCTAAGACACCTGTCTGGGTAAAAAATACGCATTAAAAAATTTGGCAGTTAATGGGTTAATACATGGCCCAAGTGCCACTCAAGTTAGAGGTTTACTGAATAAAGTGTGCGATATGAAAATAAGACGAGAAAGTAGTACGCGAAAATTATGAGAACTTTGAGGGTCGATAATTATTTCATTGATATTTGAAGAGGTTAAGATTGTAATGTTCAGGGAAGCACCGACACGGGAGTTTGTTCTAGAAAATAGTGCTTCCTTAGAAGAATACTTCTTTGCAAAAGAATACATAGGGAATGAGGGTAATTTGACTCTGTGGACGTAGCAACGTCTGTCTTAGCTGCAAAAATATGGACCTGTTGGTATTAATGAAGGGAAATTATGTGAATATTTACCATAGAAGTAGCAATAGGAAAGCAATGGGCTCGCGACGTATGGTACTTTACAATAAAAAGAGTTTGGTTTCGTTTGGTTTACGGCATATCAACGCCTCAATGGGTTATTTAATGCTGGCAAGATTTTTATTGCTGCTAATTTATTTTTTTTCGAATGTATTGCTGGTAATAAAACCTATTTTTACACGTTTTGAGCCCACTCTGGGGGTTAACTATTTAGCCATAGCTGGGACCATGACAGGTACTACCACCCCGCGTCAGGGTGGAACTGGAAACACCAGCAATTAAGAGGTGGCTCCAAGCTCTTCGAACATTCCGGATTAGGGGCCTTGCTGTCGGATGCAGTTTATCGTCTTACTCTGGACGCGGATGTAGTTTATTGTCATACATTTATCGAACCTGGTTCTGGTTCGAAATAATTGATAGCATTTGGTACTTTCTGGATCGGTACAAGTAGCCGATCTCGTATAGTCTTTGCCCATACTGAAGGACCTTTTTTTTAATCTGAAACAAAATACAGCGAATCCCCCGCCTATTCGCATTTCAGAATTCGCGGCTTCACACATTCGCGGTTTTTTCTTGAGAACATACGTATTTGTTATTCGCGTAAACCCCGAATATTCGCGTGTTTTTCTGAAGAACATGTGTACAAATTATTCACTGGAAACTCCCTAGATTCGCGTATTTTTTCGAAAGAATATATTTAGAATATTCTTGTATTATCTTCCTGTTATTAAAGTGACTGTCATATGCCCTAGTCGAAGAATGGTTTTATAAGGCAATCATACGCCGACCAGAAGATATATACATTCTAATACCTGTTGAGAGATACAGGCTATCTCTCTCAGATCGTGACAATGGACAACTGGTAAACAAAAAAAAATATTTTAAGAACACTGTTCGATTGGGTTTCAACACGAATACTGATCCACAATTCAAGGATGAACGATAAGGCGTAGTGAATTTTGATATAAGAACTTTAATATGTACAGATATACAAAATATTAAAATAAAAGAAAATATAAGCATGAGTGAAAACATCCGACGACCAGATCTCAAGACTTATGTTGGGATATCAAAATATGCCTAACTCCAAATGGATTCGACTGAATCCGAACGGACAAAAATATAAGTATGAATTACTACGAATGCAGAAATCAACGCATACACAAAAGATATGGGATAGGAGTTACAATTATTATTTTGATATGTGGAAAGGTGTTTGTAAGAACATAATATTTATGGATGCATGTGTATCTTTCTAATACGGGTCTAAAATATAATTACTTATCTTTATATTCAGTTCTCTTTTTTATCATTGTCCTTTCTTTTCTTTTCTTGACACAAATACGATTTCACACACTGTCCGGCTCTAACAGAAATATACACTTTCTTCCTCTCTCTGTTTTCCCTTTTTCTTTCCTTCTTTCATCGTCTGTATACAGTTCAGTTTCCGAACCCGACTCACTGCAACAGGGATATACACTTTCTTCCTCTCTTTGGTTTTCTTCTTTCTTTCTTTCTTTCTTTCTTTCTTTCTTTCTTCTTCTTTACACAATTCAGCTTGTAACAGAGATATACACTTTCTTCCTTTCTGGTTTTCCTTTTTCTTTCTTTCTTCTTCTTTCCACAGTTCAACTTGTAACAGAGGTATATACTCTCTTCCTCTCTGGATTTCCTTTTTCTTTTTCTTTACACAGTTCAGCTTGTAACAGAAATATATACTTTCTTCCTCTCTGGTTTTCTCTTTTCTTCAAACGCAGGCTGTATTCTCAGCGTACAAATTTCTCTGCGTCTTCAATTTGGGGTTATCGAACGGAAATACTTGTTCTTATATTTCTTGTCCGGAGTTGCCTGGGATGAATCAGACAAGTTCCATCATTATCAAATGAGTCTTATCTTTCCGTTCATAAATTATCAGCGCTTCGATTTCGAGTCCTGCTCTTTCAAAGACAAGACAGCAACTGACTCCCAAGTAAATTTTTAACTCTCACGTGTCTTGAGTTTTGGCGCGAATTCCAGCTTACATCAGTCCCCTGTCTAGCTTCTGTCTAGACATTTGTTGCTACGGGTAATTGGGTCAGTCAACCTCTTGACTTGCTTTCCCAAAATGTCACAAGACTTCCATGTGACCTCCATTCTGTTGCTAGGCGGAAATTAACCTTAATATATGCGTGTATGCGTGTTTAGGCTATCTGCGTCCGTCACAGTGACTTAAAACATATAACAGTCCATTTTTATGGTAAAAATTGGAAGAATTGTACATCTTTTTTAAAAAACAAAAGCAAAAACATCCGTAGTGCTTGGGCTTTGTTAGGGGCTGCAGCTGGGGTCTTAAAAGAGGCTTATGCTAAGTGGGGGTATCATCTCTGTTCTGTTGTTAGCAAATGTTTCAAACTTTATATTTTATATCTTGTTACACATATTTTAAACAGTATTTTCAATTGTTGTATCGATCTACGCGTAATTAAAAACTGCTATTGTATGTATGAAAAAAAAATACGCCAAGTGTATGGTCACCAATACTAGTTTTAAAGAAAATTTAAAAGTGTTTAAGATGAAATTTTAAGACGTATGGAGTTCTAACAATCAAAATACGTACTTATAAGCACTTTTAAGGGTGTTACAAGTATTCGCAGTTTCTAACTATTTGCGGCCGGTTCTGGTCCCTAACCCCCGCGAATACGGGGGACCTGCTGTATTGTGTTCTGATGAGATCAAAACTGAACTCGTAGATGCAAGCTGTTCAAGACATGTCTGTAGAAAAAAAAGGGTTCACATTTTATAACCATTAAAAATGCCATCGCAACAACTAAGCATCATGGTTGAAGTATATTTATTTGGGAATACTTTTCTGTACGACAAATCGTTGTATTACCCGTATAGGTACCCGTTAAGAATCGGACTATAATCTTAGGCGGATAATTAATACTGAATAGAAAGATGGTAGGATCGAGGAGATAACCCTGAGGAAAGCCGTTATTGGCTTCCACTGACTGGCCGTTAAAAACAACGCAAAAGAGCCGTACCTATTAGAAAGGTCTTGATAACTGAGAAAGCCCTTCCAGAGATTCCATAGATGGTGAATCTATGTAGCAGGCTCCGATACCATACCTTGTCAAAGGTCTTTGATATATCTTGGGCGATGGTACTCGTGCCATCCCATAATTAAACACCATGGAGAAAGTATAATGACTAGATTGTTTATATTCTAAGGTTACTAGTCTGTTACATATCCTGGAAAGAAAAATGGACAGTTCAACGTATTGTGATATACTGGAGAATAAAATCTGGAACTACCTAAGTTAAACAAACGGCAGTTAAAACGAGAGAATGATTAGCTTTTAGCACTATGCATAATTCATATTACTTCATTTTTCACTTGATTGTTTTTCAAGGCCTCTCAATTGTCGTATCCATATTGTTTTTTGTTACCATAGCAGGATATGACAACACAACTTATGGTTACAATTAGCAATTTCAACAGTAAAATTATGAGATATAACCGCCAGTCAAGTACTTTGTGAAGTCATCATATCAACATAGAAAGTAAATTCACTGAAATCTAAAAAAAAAAAAAAAATGAAATAAAGAAAAGGCTATGTTATAGTTGTTTTAAAGTGGCTGAAGATAAGATACCAGATCAGGTCCAGTAACATTGCAGATTCTTTGGTAAATCCAGTGTTAATTAAAAAAAAACAAAAAAAAAACTACATAATTTCTACAAGTTTATGCTGTCACTGAAGGGGATTCTGATCCCTGAACAATAGTGTGTTTCAATTTAATAGTTGTGTCGTTATATCCTGCTATGGCAACAGAAGAAAACTTTGACCGAAATTAACAATAAGGATACTGCAATTTAGAAGCCTTGAAAAAGAATGCAGTAGAAAAGGAAGTAATATTAATGTAATATTCAACGAAGTAATATTCAATGTATGTAAATAGAATTTTTTTTACTTTTTTCTTCTGTTGAAAATGAAGATCATTGAGAAAAGCAAAGCGTCTAGTTGAGTAGGGATTTTTTTACAATTTTGCATTGGTTCATAGAATTTGATAATTAACATTTAACACTCTGCATTACTAATATTTTGCACAAAACGCAAGAAGTCATATATAAGCAAAGAGAAAGCTAATTTTTGCGTATTTACGCCAGCGACTCGAAGAACTTAATCCGTTGGGAGAGTCTTGCATTATCAGCAGTAATAGTCACTGTTTACAAATTCGCGCTATATATATATATATATATATATATATATATATATATATATGCTATGATAAACACAATATTTCAAAATAATAACAATGTATGATTTTATACAATAATCAGCAGCTACATCATATTAATTAAATAATGGACATCTGATGCTACCAGAGTGTAGTTAGTCGATACGATGTGTTTATAATAGCACATATATATATATATATATATATATATATATATATATATGTGTGTGTGTGTGTGTGTGTGTGTGTTATGTGTTACTGGAACACTCATATTCTATAGTTAATAGACTCTCCCACCTATAATAAGTAGGAGTAGTAATAGCAGTCAGCAGAGAATGAGTTGTTCAGTCAGTCGATGTCCGTTAGTCGGATATTAAAGTATCAGCGACCACAACTAGATTACTGCGTCATTACCTATTATATCAAGTTCCTAACGTTTTGTATGTCGAACCTATTTTAGGACCGACTTAGTACAAATATAAGCCGCCACTGTGAAATCACTGCATAACAGTGTGTGTGTGCTGTGATGAGAACGATAGTTTAAAATTATAAAAATGTATGATTTTATTTTTTTAATCTTTATTTTTAAATTTGATTTTGATTTTAATTTTTATTTGATTTTAAAACATTTCATGACTAAAATCCCCCTTTGTCTCCATCTCACTTTCTCTCTCTCAGCATGTGTTTCAACATATTCTTTTTATTCTTTTTTTTTTTTCCCTGAAATATTATCTTATCTTTCTGTCCGTAAGCGTCCTTCATTTCTTCTCTATTCTCACAAATATTTCCCTTCGATCAAAACGAACTTCATAGCCAGCCCTCGCTATCCCAGTTTTTCATGACCGTTTCTTTTTCATTAATCGAAACCCTATTGATGCAATATCGATCAATACACGGCCTGTTGAACAAGTCAACTTTCGAGTACCATTGATCTCTCGCCACATTATCAGCACCAACCCCGCCAGCAGACGCTGTTCGCCACATGACGAGTCAAATCTCGTAAAGGAATGGGAGAACCTGTATCAACAGGTGGCTCGTCGCTCGGAGACCAAACGGTGAAGCCAACCAATAGACAGGAAACATGGAAACTTTCAAAAGTGTCTAAAACAAACGCAATGATTCTCTCTCTCTCTCTCTCTCTCTCTCATATATATATATATATATATATATATATATATATATATATATAGTTAGTTAGTTAAACAAAGAGAGCCAGACAAACCTACCAAGGTTTCACCAAAAGCGGATCGTCAAGGAAAGGCCGGCTATATATATATATATATATATATATATATATATATATATATATTCTTTTTAGGTATGTCTGATTGAATAAATTACAAACATTATGTCTGCTTATTTTCATCATAATCCTTACATATTCACGAATATTTTTCCGTATATTACATTTGAATAAGCCAAGAGATGCACTATAACAGTGAGAAGCAGATATATGTTTGTAATGTTTGTAATTTATTCAATCAGACATGCCGAAAAGAGAATTTGTGCCTAAATACCTATGAATATATATATATATATATATATATATATATATATATATATATATATATATATATATATATATATATATATATATATATATATATATATATATATATATATATATATATATATATATATGTGTGTGTGTGTGTGTGTGTGTGTGTGTGCGTCTGCGTGTGTTTGTATGCGTGTATATATATATATAGCGTGCGCCGACGGCTTAATGGTTAGAATCTCCGACTGACACCAATTCAGTCGTGTTTCGATCCTAGCTAGAGGCAACCGGATGTCTAGCCACACTGATGAGCTGTGAAACAGCGAAACAGTCTGTCTGTGGATGACGTTATATTGGCTCCTGAAATATCAATTTCAGTTGAGCTCTCTGGGGACGAGGTGTGGGTTGGTAAACAGTGACTATTATAGCTATATAGCGAGACTCTTCGCAGATGCGAATTGAGTCACTGTCGGTCACTGGGCGTGTTTCTAAAAATAAATACGCTAAAAAATCCAATTGTCACTTTTGCGCCGACGGCTTAATGGTTAGAATCTCCGACTGACATCAATTCAGTCGGGTTTCGATCCTAGCTAGAGGCAACCGGATGTCTAGCCACACTGTGAGCTGTAAAACAGCGATATAGTCTGTCTGTGGATGACGTTATATATATATATATATATATATATATATATATATATATATTTCAACGCTGTTTTTAGTTTGAGTAGTCCCTGAATTTATTTTAAAAAACATTTTATTTTGTTTACATGCCTGAACATTCGAGAAATACGATCAAAGAAAAATGATATCTACTCAAATGACATCTAAAAATAACATTCAATTTGATTAAAAAAAAAACACACTTTTAACAAAAGAAATATTTGTCAAAAAAAATTTTAATTAATGAAAAAAGGGTTCCATACAATTGTCAAAAAACGAAAATGTAGGACAAATTAAGACATAAAAGATTTAGAAAACTAACCTTCCTGCTAGCGCGGTTTCAACCCATTAAGTATTGCCAGGCAGTAGTCGGTAGAAACCGCGGTAGCTAAATG